GAGCTATTTGGCCGGCCCTAATTGATCAGTTTTGACAGCTTTGACAACAAAAGAAGAGAGGAGATTGTTTAGTGTAAATACCAAAGGGTGGCCAGATTCTGTCACTGGTGGGTGACAGAGAGGGTCCAGAGTCACCAAGTGTGTGCGTGAACTGGGTTCTGAGACCCAGCTTCCAGGATTCACTCTGGCTGTCTTCAGCTGCCACTGAAGTTGTCTTTCGTAGAGATATTTTTGGACGAAGCTCACAAGAGTCTCCCTAAGTGCCTGCAGCCCTGGTTGCTTCGGTCAACAAAACAACAAAATGATACAAAAGTAGAAAATTCTGGTAGAACCTGAGCCAATGAGGGAGTGCCCAGCATAGTGTACCTGCTGCAGTCCAGAGGAAGGCCTCTTAGGTGAGAAAGACCGTGGATTCTGAACCGTGAATTGGGATATCTGGGATGAGACAACAGCGTAAAAAGCCTTGGTCAAGTTTCTTAATCTTACAAGGCTTTTTGTTTGCTTAGCGATAAAATGCTGACACAAATACCCTCTGCCCTGAGAAGCTAGAAGGAACAAGTGTGTACGTCATGTGCAATTTCTGGTCTAAGATGTGGGGAAATCACATAGGAGCAGGGCGAGGGCTTAGGCCCTGGGAAGCCAGGGACCCCGGAGAGAGGCAGCTCTAAGCAAGCGGGAGGCCAGCACCGCATTATCCTCCATTGGCTTCTCCCTGGGGAGAGCGTGCCATTCGGGAGCCGTGCACCCCAGGAAGGAGGAAGGCCGCCTCTTTGCTTGCTATGTGTGCCCAGAGGTTAGCTGCTGACACTGCCATTCCCTAGGCTGGCTCCAGTCCTACTGAGAGGGCAAGTGTGCTCATGTCCCACCCGGGCTGGCTGACCAGGGCCGCTACTTCCAGGCTGCACTTTCAGGAGATGGAAAATTGTGCTCCTTTAGAGGCTTGATCTGAATTCATCTAAGGATGTGTGTGTATATATTTGTATTTTTCCACATTTTAACTCACTGGGTTAAAATTCTTAACTCACTGGGACCACATTGTGAGATAAGGACTCAGTGTCCCCGCTTAATGGTGGGGACACAGGCAGAGGGAGGGCGAGTCACCGCCACAGAGCTGGAGAAAGCAGGAGCAAGCTGCCCTGGCTGTGGGCTGTGGTGGCCGCTATGAGAACACAGGGCAGGAGCAAAGAGATCAGACCAGGGCACCGTGCCCCTGTTCCACGAACCTGCTTCCACACTTTAGCACTCTGACACCTTTGGTTTGCAGTGAAATGGTTCTGGGCCTCAGTTCCTTCACTGTATGTGACCATCTGACTTTGAGCTCAGCTTCCAGGAATATAGCACAAGCTCAGGGAGCACCAGGTCTCTGTAGGGACTCAGGAGCCAGGTGATGGCGATGGTGTCCCAGCCAGGGCGACAGCTGCCCGAGCGCATGGCCTCACTTGCTTATGCAAAGCTCACCTTGTCCGGGGCTTGGCTTAGCCCGTTGTTGCTCCTCTTTACACATAAAACACATGTAGCTTCTAAGTTTCCCAGAGCCTGGCAAAGTAGAAATAGAGCATAAATTCTCCTGGGATGGAGAATCAGAGGATGAGAGACTGGTCTACTCTGTGCCACGGTTTTCTTATGTATAAAGTCGGGACAATAAGTGGCATTTCTGCCCACTGCCTAGAGTTCTCTGTGCCCTGCGATTAGCTCTTAGCTGGGCTTCCTATAATCTCCGACAGCAGCATTCACAAGGATGTCTTGGGGGTACTGTGGGGCTTGGCCTGGGGATGGCATCTCCATCCCAAGGGCGGGCTTTGCAGAAGTCAGGATGAGAGGAACTAGCCCCGCTAATGGTGGCACCCAAAGACTTTTGGGGTTTATTGCGCAAGAGCCCAAAGAAAAGCAGGTCAATGCCGCCCTCTGGCGGTTTAAAGTGGGAACTAGTGAGCCAGGCTTGGGTGAAGTTTCAGGGCAGAGAAGGACTTAAGGGAGTGCAGAACAAGATGAGGGGTGTAGGAGTGATGTTCCCAGGATGAAGAGTACTTCAAGGAGTAAGCAGGTCCTGAGAGGAAGAAGACCTACTGTGTGCTGCAGTGGGCATGGTA